GAGTAGAGGTGGAATCTTCTTAATCCACTAATTATCTTCATTGGAGTCCCAAGCCAATTGGCAGAGCTAGGTTTTAAGGCCCTTTCAGAAGGCCAAGAGGCTGGGGACAGATCTTACCTCAAGCAGCATGAACTTCCAGAGGGTGGGAACCACAGCAAAAAAGGCTCTTCTCCTCGTGCCTACCAGCTGAAGTTCCTTGATTGATGTGATTTGCAGCATCCTTGTATTGGAGCAAGTGAAGTGGGCCAATCTCACTGGGGTGAAACGATTCCTCAAATAACGTGGTCCCATGCCATAAAGAGCTTTAAAGGAGTTAACCAATACTTTGAATTGAGCCTGGAAGCAAACCACCAAACATTGCGGCTCACGCAACAGTGGTGTTACACAGTGATCCCTAGGGACTGGTAGGACTGTCCGTGTAGTTGCATTCCATGTCAGCTGTGGCTTCTGAATTCTCTTCAAGGGTGACTTCATGTATAACACATTGCAAACACAAGCTGACCAGGGGTGATGACCGAGTGCAATGCCTCATGATCCAGGAAAGTACAAGTAAGTAAATTGGGTCTAGGACAACTGGCCTCTGCCAAGTTGCTGCTACCAACTTGCTGCAGGACAACTCCACATGCCCAACTGCCATGGGGACAACTCTCCACAGGTGGCCGAAGAACCAACCATCAAGCAGGTGGTGGCAAGCTGGCAGCGATGAGCTGTCTTTGCCAAGCTAACTGAGCTGTCCCATTCCAAATAAGTTTATTGTTGCAACTACAGGTCCTAACAATATAGCATAGCATAAAATAACTATGCTATTTAAAATAGCTTAAATATTTCTTTCAAAGTTTAAATGACAGAGCAAATGTAACATCCTAACTAACAGCTGGAAACACATCTGAGATCTGAGCCCTTGAGTTCACCTATCATCAATAATTTGGCCCCTATATCATTGTAAATGATGGTTGATCCACTTGATCAACACTATGAGGCCAGAGATGATGTTCAACAGGGCATGTATCTAGTGGTTCAAGTCTGCTTTTCTGCAATCATTATGCTGTATGACCAAACTGCTATGTTGTTGTCATAGACATATGATAACTGAGTATTTAAAATTAAAAATGCAACAGTAAATGCACAATGGTCCATTCCATATAACAACATGCCATTTTATTATGTATTTATATTTCAAAATTTTGGCTACCAAATTCCAACAATTCTGAGTGGCTTAAGTAATAACAACAAAATCAAAATAAGACCACAAAAGTGGGTTCATCCAGAAGGATTGATTTTTCTCAGCTGCTTAATCAGATCCACTCCATTAGACTCCAGAGTAGAGGTAGAGAAAGTTGATCATCAAATTTGCCTTTTCTCCAAGTCTCTGTCAATCTGTTTGCCTTATTTGATAATAAGCTTAGAAACAGAAACCAGTCCATTTCTGGCTAAAATGTGGATTCAACACGCTTCAAATCTATGAATAAATATTTAAATAAAATCCTTCTGCATCTTTGTGTGTTGGCATCTCATGCAGAACCCAAAGTTTGGCCCCAAAGCAGTAGCTTCTGAATGATGTAATTGTACTTACCTGTCCCATGCTATCAGGATGCAGCAATGGAGGAAGCCAAGAGAATTTAGTTTGCACGATGGAGAAATTATGCTATGGGCTAAGATAGTGCACTGTAGTGTGCAAAGTGATTAAACTATTCAACACTCCCCCCCCATTTAGACACCATCACAATACAATAGATGTTCCCTCAAAATGATGTTCAATATTGGACAGAGGTACCTAATAAATATACAGGTTCCCCCTATATATACATAATTAACCATTCACCTATAGGGCCTAGAACTGTGACATAAATCCTTTATTGGCCTTCACAGATTTTCAGTCATTTGCCAAGTTGACACTCAATTTACTCCATACAGGACTCCACTAGAAATCTAAAAGTGATTGCAATGATTTTGTGGTGAGTCGTAAATCTGAAGACTTCAGAGTGCATCGATGCTCTGTAAAAAATAGTCTGATGTCCTAAAATATAATCATTTTGGCTGTGTAAATTAAAATTAGCTTTTCTTTATTATTTATGAATGTAGGTTTCTATGATTCATGATGAATATATTTAAGAGACGTGGGGAAGCTGCTATACAGGTATAGATAAAAAACATGACAGAAACTTAAAGTTTAAGCACAAAATGCATCCTTTCTTTTTTAATGCTCTATTTTATTTTATTGTTAATTTACAAATAGTCTTCCTGTTGCAATATGTTCATGCTTGAACACTTCTGCTAGTTAGCTGCTCATGAATGCCTAGAATGGGAAGCCTCTAGTAGGAAGAGACCAATTCTACTATCTCTCATGCTCAGTGCAGGAATTCAGGTTAAAAACATCCCTAGACAAATGTCTCACAAATCTTTATTTGATCATTCAGCAAAAGAGTGTCCACCATCATTTTAGACACTGATTCAATTGCCCAACTGTTATTATCCTTAGGAAATGCTTATTAGCTTTCAACCAGAATATAATGTATAGTTTGTCTCAATGATACACATCACTCCATTTTCTCCACTCTGGGATAATAGAAAGCAGATCATTGCTACTGTCACCTCCTTCTCTTCCTTCTGTGAGATATCCCTTAAGAACTGGAAGATTGGGTTCATACAACATGCTTAGCTTAGCTACAAAATTAAGCAGTTCCCAGTGAGTCCCAAATTAATGAAATGTGCTGGCTCAGACAATCTGCTAAGTCACAAATAAACCAAGTTTAAACTAACCTATCTTAGTATATTATATAAATACAACTACAGGATCTTTTAGTCACCTAGACAATGTACTTGTGTAAGCTGGAGCATTTAGGTACTGGTCTACTATATATCCAAGATCTTTTGAACATGTACTGGTTTCTTGTAAAAATATCTTCTCTGGCTAATGGCCAGCTTCCAAGTACAATTGAAAATGTTATTTATGAGTTACTTATCATGGCTTAGGATCAGGTTTTCTAACATTAAGTAGTTCTGGAATAACTTTTCTCTTGGTCCTCCATAAATGTTTAGGATGGAGTAGAAAAATGACTACTAGGTTTTGGAAATCTGTACCAAAGATAGTCAGCTGGTAGTTCCCTCTTTGTTGACTTTCTGCCAATAGTTGAAAATGTTTTAGTCAGGACTTGGAGATTTTCAGCTAACAAAATAGATGGGTATTTTTGTTGACTTTTTTAAAGGATATCCTTTAAAAATATCTTTTTGGGCAAAGAGGTGGGATATATTATATAAATATATATATATTCAGTAGCAGCTAGTTTGTTTTTCATAAGCTAGAGCAAGGGTGTCAAATTGCCGACCTGTGGGCCAGTTGCATCATACGGAGGCCACGCCCACTCCAACTCCAGCAATGCAAAAAAAGTCATGACACATTGTGACAGGTCACATGATGCGGCGAGTTTGACACCCATGGGCTAGAGTATTACATTTTTATGATCTCTTGTTTTCAGTCTGAACCACTGTATAATTTCAGAACTCAATAATGCTGTTCTACTACATTTGCTGACCTGTTCTTCTGATGGGATAAGGTCTTATACAATTCTTGAAAAATATACATGGCCTTTTCACATCACTATTTTCCATGCTCTCATATGGTGGAATTTAGCTCACTTCATTCTCAGTCACCATAATCTAACAGTCTTTACACTTTAGGTCTACCTCACACTTAATATCTGGCATAAGTAAGAATATAAAGACAATGCCAGCAATGATAATGACAATGATCAGCATCCCAGGCATATAAGCAGACAAATGCAACTATCTTGGTATTATGTCTATTTGGACCATCAGTTTACTTGTCCTTTGGCAGGCCTGATTCCTCCTCCCCACAAAGCTGTCATGAAGAGAAAGCCATATGGATGAGATTATTCCCATCACCTCAATTTCACAAGATAATCTCTACTGTCCAGCTCAGCTTAACCATATTTTGTATGCAAGTGGACCTACTTTTAAATCAAGTAAAGGGCTATTGCTATTTTTATTTTCTAAGTGTGCCAAGAGATACTTTGAAAATAAATATGAAGCTGTATGATCACATGTATGTAAAATTCATTTTGTGAATAGTTTTGTAAAAACACAACGTCTGAAGACTGGAGCCAGGAAAGTACCAAGGGAGGCATAACTGGTGCTCATGAACCCAAGACTGCTTCCCCTGAAGCACTGTATGAGATTTTCTTTAGAAGGTATTTCATGCCAAGCTATTTGAGAAATGTAATTCCCCTCTATCACTCATAAAAATGAACCTAAATCCATACGATAATTCTTTGGGCCTAGTTACAATGGTGGCTGGATATTTGTCCTCAGTGAGCCATTTTATAAATCTCTCCTGAGTCCTGGTGTGCTTGTAGCTATTAAATTTGTGCAGCTACAAAGTTCCCTGCTGTAAAAAAGTCAAAGTGCAATGGGCTTTGGATTTATTATCTATCCAAGAGACAGATATGGCTTAAATCTTGGTGGGGGGGGGGGAAATGCCTCCTTGGGAGAGAAAGGGAAAACACTATATTACTTCTGGTATGTATAGTGAGTGTAAGAGATTTCCTCTTATTTGAGAAGAAATTCACCAAAATGTTTCTTCCAATTTTGTTTATTTCAATGGAATTATATGGCTATCCATTTCATCAGTACAGCTCTGGGCAATTAACAAAATGCTTTTTAAAAGAATGCAATATATGAATACATAACTTGACAAACTAGAAGTAAAAAAAAATGGGCACCAAGTTCTTGTTTGTAAGAGGAAACCATCTATGTACATTTGTGTGAGGGTGAAGGTTTGTTCTCAGAGCTTGTGGGTTGGTTTCCTAACGTTTCATTACCAGGCTAGGTAACAACTTCAGTGGTGTTTAACATCCTACACCAGAGGTAGACAACCTTGGCTCTTTTCTGACTCGTGGACTTCAATTCCCACAATTCCTGAGCCAGCTATGCTGGCTCAGGAATTCTGGGAGTTGAAGTCCACGAGTCAGAAAAGAGCCAAGGCTGCCTATCCCTGTCCTACACCCAAGCTACAGATATTTGCCACTATTCTCTCAGTTTGACAATCATTTTTACTCAGATGTAAACCCAATCAGGGTAAGGAATCTTTTGTAAATCAATATTTTCAAATCTGAACTTCTTCCTTCTCACAAGCTAATCTCTGTTGCAATACTCTTATGATTTCCTGCTGGATTCAGACCTGGAAATGCAGTCCAGTCCAGCAATATTCCAGTCAGAGGCACTAAAACATGGCTACCATGCAGCAATTTTCTTTCACCTTATGGCCTGCAGATGTATTGGATTCAGAGGTTTTCCGCACACAAGTAGGCTTTGGGGAAATATCCATTTCTGCACCCACCAACTTTTCTATGGAAATATATAATGTGGTTTTCATCCCCTCAATTGTTTGTAGCACATTTACTTGTAGCCAAGTAAATGGGAGGTAGAGATAAAGCAAAATCCTGGAATAAATAATCACTTGAATCAGTATTAATCTACCTGTTTATTTCATATATTGAATAATTCTAGTTTGGCCCCAAACTCTGTAAAGTATTATCCCTCTAACAACTTAAGGGCCTTAAGGATACCTGATTGGACAACACTTATTGGGGTGTTGGAGTATCTTCAGTTAACAATTCTGGCGGGCATAAGGGTAAATATGGACACTGAACTCCTGAACTCTGTTGGACTTGTTTCCAAGAAAAGAGGCATCAATCGGCTAATGCAATTTCAAAGCGTTCTTTCTTCTTCCTTTGGGAAATATCGTTAACAAATTGATTGGGCAATTTAATCAAATCAGTTTGAAAGTATCTTGCCTTTTCTCGCGGACTCCTAGAGCGCCAGGAGAAAAAAGAAACGGGGATTTAAGCATCCTTTGTGGGAAAAGCCTCTAGCTCTTGGACGCTGCCAGGTTCGCACTGAAAAGCGGCCGTCCCTCTCGACCTCCGCAGCTTCCCCAGCGCTTTTCAAGCGGGCGCTCCACCTCTGCCTCTATTTCATCTGGGCCGCCTCAGCGCCTTGCAGAAAAGCTGGTCCTTCTACCAGTTGCGCTGTTCCCGGCAGCCCGTCCGCCGCCTTGGGCCACCCAGATGGCTTTTTTCTTATATTTGAACCAGTAGCTGTTTCTAAAGAGGCGCCGTCATCTCCCTCCACCCAGGCCTAGAAGCACGAGAAAAGATCCGGACCCCTCGGGCAGACTCCCCGTCCTTTGGACAGCCTGCCCCTCTGCTCGAGCGCCCGGCGCCCCGCATCCTTCCTAGCTACCTTTCCTCCACCCCTCCTTCTCCACATACACCCCGTCCCATTGCCGCCTACTTCTACGGTCGACCAATCGGCGCTCGCTGATCCGTGCGGGCCCCATCCTTCCTCATCCCAAGCTGTGGTCCAGCCCAATTGTTTATTCAGTGGCTGGGCCAACGGCACGCGCCGGGCGCACGCACTTGCAACAACAAACCTTGGAAGGGGAGAGGTGGAGGGGAGAAGAAGGGGCGGAGCCCGGCCCAACGCGTGTGCGGGGTTTTCGCCGGGGTCTCTGCGTGTGCACGCGCGGGCGGGGCGGATGGGGGACGCTTCCCTCCGTATCGCGCTTTCCTCGCCACCCATCTATCCAGTCCTTCCTCACCCCACCCCACCCTCCCCGCAATGAAAAAGCGGCAGCTCTCTTCCGCTCACTGCCACTCACTGTAAAAGCCGGGAGCGTGGAAGGCGCAAGGTGCAGGGTGGGTGTGAGGAGACGGAGAGGGAGCCGAAGTGGGAGGAGGAGGAGGCGCGAGCGTAGGGGGGGGGAGTGAAGTGTGAAAAGAAGAGCGGGGGGGGGTGAGAGACGGTAAGCGGAGCTTCGGCCATCCCTTATAAGAGAGACAATCTCTGGTCCTTTTTTGGCAAAAGAGCTTTGGCCAAGCAGGCTGCACACACGCGAGCGCCACGAGCCTCCTTCGATTGCAAAGAAAGGGGAGGAGGGAAAGCAAGCGGTGCCATCGGAGCTCGCTCGCTTTCTATCTTCTGCAAGCCTTCCCCCCCCCCCCTTTCCCTTCCAGATTCACTACTCTACCTCCCTCGCGCCTAAGGCCAGCATACGCCGCGAGCCCCGCCGCGCGCCTTGCCTCCTCCGTGCGGCCGCCCAATGGCCAGTGGCAGCCCTGCCAAGATGGACAGCAGCGCCAGCCAGCCTCCGCCTCCCCCGCCGTTCCTCCAGCCCGCCTGCTTCTTCGCGGCCGCCGCTGCGGCCGCCGCAGTAGCCGCTTCACACAGCGCGCAGCAGCAGCAGCAGCAGCTGAGCCCGGCGGCGGGCAGCCAACAGAACCAGCCCTCTCCGGGCGTCGCCAAAGCGTCTGCTGCGGCTGCGCCGAAGCAGCCTCAGCAGCAGGTCAAGCGGCAGCGCTCGGCGTCGCCGGAGTTGATGCGCTGCAAGAGACGCCTCAACTTCAGCGGCTTCGGCTACAGTCTTCCTCAGCAGCAGCCGGCGGCGGTGGCGCGGCGGAACGAGCGCGAGAGGAACCGCGTCAAGCTCGTCAACCTGGGCTTCGCCACTCTCCGTGAGCACGTCCCCAACGGCGCGGCCAACAAGAAGATGAGCAAAGTGGAGACGCTGCGCTCGGCCGTCGAGTACATCCGAGCCCTGCAGCAGCTGCTCGACGAACACGACGCCGTCAGCGCTGCCTTCCAGGCCGGCGTCCTCTCGCCCACCATTTCCCCCAATTACCCCAACGACATGAACTCAATGGCAGGCTCGCCTGTCTCCTCGTACTCCTCGGACGAAGGGTCCTACGACCCCCTCAGCCCCGAAGAGCAGGAACTGCTGGATTTCACCAACTGGTTCTGAGAGGCCCTGGTGGCCCTGGCCGCGTTGACTTTGCAGCAGGTGGGTTTGGCTTAGCGCGGCTCTCGGGCGGGGATTCCAGGCACAGAGGGGAGATGGGAGGTGGCAGCCGCGTGGCCCCTGGTGCGCATGGAGAGGAGGAGGAAGAAGCAGCACTTGCTGCTCTGAAGAAGGGCGTTTTAAAAACCCAGCCGAGTGACTTTAGCATAAGGAACACGACAGAAGACTCCAAAGGCAGTTATGGGGGTTTGGGGAATGAGAACTACATCCCATTTCCAGTCCCACAACAGTCTTAACCTAGTTCTTGACAGGGGCTGTCATAATAACCACAAATCAAAGCAAATGGCTGCTTTGCAGAAGATGCTTAAGTGGCAAAACAAAACCCCAACTTAACATTAACCAAGCTTGACATGTTGAGCAAGAGCAGCCATTAATTTTTTAACTGACCTCATTAAGCTGTTCTGTGCACGCAGCCAATGAGAACTGAGAGGCCCGACTGACTCTGTGGTCCATTTTTCAGTTGATGGCAATAAGGTAGAGTGAATGGTTTAACTGACAATGGGGTGACTTTGTCAAAATTAAAGATCTTGCTTAGATTGCCAAGTGACAAGTGGGAGGAGGGGATGTAGCTTTACAGTATTTGCATGTGAGGTTGCTGCAGTCCTCTGAATACTCCTGTAGTAGCCTGAGTGACTTTAATAATACCCATCAGTAAAACAGCCCTGGCATAAATGGGTTTGTAAAATATGACTCTCTAGATAAGAAAAATAATTGTAGTAGCTCTGGAAAAATAGTTTCTATACTTACTGAGAATCTCAGTAAGGCAGAGGGCTTGTCTCAAATAGCTGGATTCCATTCCACTTAGACTGATGTTGTATGTTTCCTTGCATTCATCCCACCCTAAAGTGTCTCACCTAAATAAACATGTGTAAAGATCAATTAGAAGACATTATAAGCTATCATACCTGAGTTTCTATTTGCTGGCATTATAATCCAAAAGCATTTATCTGGAAGAAAATCAACATTTCCAGGTAACAGGCCCCATAGTTTTGTGATACAAACACCCAAAGGAAATTATTTCCAATTGTGACTGATAGGGGACGACACCCATCCTGTAACAATTAGCAGGAACATCCATGGTCATAAGTAGACAACTTACGTCATGTCATGTCACACAGGTCATATCTATCACCATAAATAGATTTCCTGTGTCATGTCATTTAAATCCTGAGCCTCATCAGTGCTTGACTGGAAGATTGCCTAGGGGTTGGGTGCACATACTTTTGAGAGTCACCATGGAAGACAAGCTCAGAAAGACTAATTAAACAGTCCTATATTTAGTGCAATTAAATGTGTATATTTAATAGGACTGACTTCCTATGAGATGTGTTTAACACTGCAGACTAAAGCTACAAGTACTGTATGTTTTTTATATATAATCATCTCCAAGTCTTTCAGAATAGACACATGACTGCACATTCTAGGACAGAATTGTTAGTTGGGAATGGTTGTCACTGGATATACTGAAAATTGTATAACAACCTCAAATTATTTACTTGGTAGTATAATTATTTACTTGGTAGTATTAAGTTAAATCCAAATGTGCAAGTAGAGTGCAATCACATATACACATATTCAGAAATTAGACTTGTTTTGTTTTGTGGAATAGCAGCCTGTCATTCAAAAGTCAACTATTTTGAGGATTGCTGTTTTCTATTTGGGTCATATGTTAACAATGCTTTCTCTTCTCTTTCCTTATATTGTACAGGACTTCCTGAAAAATAATTCCATCTTACTACCACTGTTTTTCCCTTTCATTGTGGAAAGGAAAGCCAAGACACTGAAGCACAGAAGGAATTAAACTTCCTCTCCACAAAACCTGAAGCACTCCCAAATTCTGCCTTTGCACTCCAGCTGTTTAAAGAGACATACAGCCCAGGTCTGTGGGCATGTACTAGGAAATAAAGTCCACTGAGCTGAATAGGACTTACTATTCCCAATATGTATGCATAGAATTGCAGACCAATGCTTCAATCTCTTATACACTTACTGAAAGTGGGGCTTACTTGCAAGTAAACATGTAAAATCAAGCTGCAGACTATGGACCTAGAAGCAAAAGGGAGGGTTGTAATGTGAAAACATCTATCTACCTATTCTTTACCCCCAAAGTTAAATTATACTGCCTATTTCACTACTGCCTATTCATAAATCTTCAACAGAACCAGGAGCTTCCCTTTTTACTGAAACACAATATTGCCTCTTCCCCCTTTCCAAAAATGTTTTCACTACTTTCTGGCCATAAGTTGAAACAAAACCTAATTATATGTGTCAAGAAGTAACAGAATTCATTCAGATATAATTATATGTGGTCAGACCAATATTAAGCACATTTACTAAATTCAGTAAATTTATTTTGAAATGTGTGTGAAAAAGGCCTGCCATCCTAGTTGCCTAATGCTTGTGAAGCTGTGGAAACTCCAAACTACGCTCTACTTAAACAATCCTCTTAAATATGTCTTCTCCAATCTTTGTCTACTTTCCCACTAACACTGCCACTATAAAATGCTTCCATTTTTTTCTTGCAATCTTTTTATTATATAAAAAATTCTATTTGTATCAACCCTAACCAACTTGGGGAATATATTAAGCTATTTTTGTATATAAGAGCCAGAGAAATTTATAGCCTTTTTTTGTACAAATGGTATAAAATATGTATATCTTGATAACTTTTTTAAAGATATGTGATGCTTATTACCTCTTCCTATCTAGATGTGTAGACAATATGACCTTACAACTGCCATGTTTTTGTTATGGGGTTTTGTAAAGGACTTGGGAATGCCTCCAAATGTACTTTAGCACCAATGTGTCTTACTTTTTTATAGAAAGTTTGCTAATGTATTAATAAACAATGTTCAAAATGAACAAACTTTATGCAGCTATTGTCCAAACACAAAATGGTAGCTATTTATTTTACAAGCTGCTGCCTTTTGAAGAAAAAAGAAGGGGAAACACTCTTCTATGGCCTTTCCATTCTGTTTTATTATAAACTCACAAAAGTCACGTGTAACAACATTTTATACAAATTAGTTTGGTAATAAACTTTGTTTCATTTAAAATGAAGCCTTCCTGGTTGTTGTGTACTGTTCTGCCATTGATTAAACCTGTACAGAAAAGGCAAATATTTGGGTGGCATGTCACTTCTAAATGGCCATATATAGGATTTCTATACAAAAGCTCCTATATTATGCTGGTATTTTTTGCCTTTCTATTTTGCAAATGTCTGTTAAATCAAGAGAGGCCTGCCTGTCGGCCTCTTCCATTGTCCTTCATTGTAACCACTGGACATTTCAAAATTTCCTCCAGAGAATGGATCCCAACAGAGAGGGGGCTCTTTCCTGCATCTACAAGTCTTTCGAATTTGACCACCTCCTGATAAAACAGGGTGTTGTGGATGGGTCAGATTGGGCTGGGAGAAAATTAAGGGGCTGACAAGCAGGGGCTTGTGAGGAGAGGGGCATAAAGGCTATTAATATATAATTGCTTTTATAAGGCACTGTACCTAAAATTGCTGGAGGTATGTGTCAGTGATGGAAAAAATGAAACGGGGGGGGGGGGGAAAGCAACGAAAGAGAATTGCCTACCTTAGATTTAAGTAATTGATCTTTCTAGCTTTTATGTTCTCTCAACAGCGTGATCTGTGTGTAAAAGTACCCAATTACCAAGACTCAAAAAGAAATTGGGGCCTTCGCTCTCACTCCTTTTTTGGCTAGCCTCCTTGTCAGTTAGTAAAGACGTGACTAGAATCTATCTCAGGCTCATTCCCCACTACTGCTACCCTCTCCCCCATCCCCTTTCCCCCTCCTGCTTTCGTGCTCAGCTCCTCCAGCGTGGCTTTCCAATTCAGTTTGCGCGTCCCACCACACTAAGTGGTGTGCATCCTATGAAACAAGCATCCTATCCAATGAAAATCAAATTGCTGAAAGTAGGCAGCCACCTCTGTCTTTGAAACCCAGCTTGCTCAAAACGAACAGCAAATCAAGCAGAAATTCTTCAGGCATAGGCTACAGAGGAATTTTATTTAATTTGCTAGCATTGCATTTCCATACATTCAGCCTCTTTTCTCCCCCCACCCCTTTCCCCCATGATTCTCTCTTCTCCCCATTAATATGCTGCTTGGAGGGAATGGGAAAGCAAGCAGAAAGCGTCCCGGCACCCTTTACTTGAGTACAAATATTCATTGTTGAATTAGATCTTGGAACCACTGTTTGATTATGAAAATAGCAACGGTTATCACCCACCCACTTTCCTGTTTTCTCCACTTTCCTAAGTCTGATTTCTCTCTCTCTCTCTCTCTCTCTCTCTCTCTCTCTCTCTCTCTCTCTCTCTCTCAAACAGACTTTTAAAAAAATATTAATTTTTACACTGGTGCCATGACAGTTTTTCAAACTGAATTTAGCCATAATTTATAGCTATGGGTAAGAATCCTGCTTATTTTGATCTGAAGGGCCAAGTTAACATTTCCATACGTGGACCAATGTTGTACTGTTTATTTTATTTTATTCTCTCTCTATCTCTCCCCCCACCACACACACCCCAAATCAGATCTGAAAATGATGCTTCCTCGAGAGAGAAATGAAGTTCTTTCACTGCTTATAACAAAGTTCAAGACAAAAACACCTAGATTTTCTCCTCTGAAGGGATCACATCACTTTCCTGGAAAGAGGAAGAAGGGACCAAGAAGGAGTGAGGTAAATCTCTGAGCATTTAAGCACTACAATAGTCTTTTCTTGTGTTAGTAGGAAAGCTACTCAGGAGCTCTGACATGTTGGATTCAGCATTTATAAACCCCTTTAATTGCATGATTAAGTTTTCAAGTAACCCTTATGGAGTGAGATGGGTGAGGACCAGGTCAATTCACTAGAAATGCAGGTGGACATTTTAGATGTTTAGATGTAAAATGGGAAGGCAGAATCTGACAAAGCCTTTTGCAAATACATCTCAGCTATGTTTTTCAGCCCTTTATAATAAACAATTACTGGATCAGTTCAGTAAGCCCTGTTTAAAACGCAGAAACAAAACATGGCTGCAGGAATACCAAGAGGCTGCAGGGTTTCACAGAAGCAACTGGAGGGTGTCTGCAGAGATGCCTTGGCTAGAGAGGAGCTGATAGGCTCAGACAGGCAAAAGAAAAAACAGCTATCAATGTACAAGATCAGGGTACACATTACAATGGGCTAGCATCCATGCCTGAATACTCATCATGATGTTCCTTTTGGAATAAGCAATCCTATGTAGAGCACAGAAACGGAGCAAGAAATAATAAGCCAAAGAAATTAAAGGTGTAAGAAAAAGAATGAGAGGCAAAACATGCTTACAATAAAGCCATGCTTTATACCTCTCCACATCTTTTTATCCTTGAAAATCCATACCATCCTTAGAGTACATTTCAGCCTGCTTTGTTTTCTAAACTTCTCAACTCTTTCTGTTTGAATGAGAAATACTCAATTCTAAATAAAGGTGGACAAAAACATTTTATTTTTGCTTGTTCTGAAAATAATTTCTTTCTCAAAACAGACCTTTCTACCTCTATTTGCATGTATTAAAATTTCTCAGTTTCCCTACTTTTAGTAACCTTCATGACAAAATATACAAATTCAAGCTACTTGCCCTAATTTTTACTGTTATGTAACTGTTTATTATGAATATTCTGCTATTTCAGTTATCTGACTCTAACTAGCTTACAGCAAAACATACAATATATGACATTACGCTAAATAAATCTCTCTCTCAAAGTCCCATCTGTAAGAATTTTTGGATTCAATAAAATGTCAATCCAAAAGATCAGTTTTCTGATCCATATACCTTGTTTGCATCATATAATCTATCTAACATTTGCTGCAAATCACTCCAATAATCAGTCAACAACACAGAATCATCTCTATACCAAAGTACATTCATACTCCCAATCAGCACACCTCTAATATCATAACAAGTACTCCTTACATTTTATCCATTAATTCACACATCTTGGCCTTATTCCATGATCAATGCAAGACTGTTTGCTAAGCATTTCATATATTCTCATGCATGCTTTGCTTTCATGTATACTGTTCTGATCATATTCAGCAATCAAACTTCAACCCCATATTTGCCCAAAATATTTCATAATTCAAGTTTAATCTCTTTATCCTCTTGTATGTCTTTTGTAAATAAATAAATGGATTGTAAACATTCTTCTTCACATTCATATTTTTCCCAGTGGCCTGTAACTCATATACTAAACCATCAGTTATGAGATATAGGCTTTATATTAACAAAAAATTAACCTAGTCAATACTGTGTGTATTTGTATTTGTGTGCGTTTGTTTGTTGAGTGAGTGAGTACATGTGGCCAGAGAGATAGGATTTACATATAAAAAGAAATGCCCACAACAGTTGATATTAAAGGAATCCCATGGTTTTTTTTGAGAACCTATGGCAAAAAATAATAATGGTTAGGAAGGCCTCCAAATATGGAAGATTGGTGATCTATACAGGTATATTAAACATCAGCACCTAAAGAGAAAGGTCCAAAAACTATTTAAATGCAGTTTCCTAAACCAAGGAACTTCCTCTCTTTTCAACACATATTTGAGACTGACACCATTTGGAAATCCCTTTTCATGGGGGAGGGGTGCATGGACAAAATGGTGCAATATTAACAGTAGAGCCAATTAGATTGAAAAGAGCAACAATTACGAAAAATGAAAAATTTATACACTTCCCATCTTCCCCTTCATTTCATCCTTCCATATTTATTATGAATGCATGATTTCTAGTTATTTCTTTTCTCTATAACAGCTGGTCAAGCTTGACATCTCCCAAGCATTTGACACCAGTTTCCATTTGAAGTGTATCATGACACAATCATATTCTATAACCTAAGCTTCCCTTGTCTGTACAGCAGTGGTTCTCAACCTTTTTAATGCCGCGACCCCCAACCAGTCGTAAGTCGAGAACTACTCAACCGGTCGTAAGTCGAGGACTACTCAACTGGTGCAGCACTGTTTGCAGAATGGGACTTTTGGCGGGCTCAACAGGGCAGAGACAGCCTGGACAATTCCTATTGGCTTTTGAAAGCCAATAGAATTAGACTCTATTCAAGAGAGTCTATTCTATTGGCTTTCAAAAGCCAATAGAATAAAAGGGAGTAGCACAGCTAAGGAAAAGGGGGAAAAAATGGCTGACTGTGTTGTTTGGCGACCCCCGTGAAATGGTCATTCGACCCCAAATGGGGTCCCGCCCCACAGGTTGAGAACCACTGCTGTACAGATTCTTAATCTTCCCGGTCATGGTTGCTCCAAAGGTGCTTTTCCAAAAGGCAACTAGACTTTCTTGGTTATTTTCTTTGAAAACATTTTGCTTCTCATCCAAGAAGCTGCTAATTCAGTTCAAAACTGAACAAGCTTCTTGGATGAGAAGCAAAATGTTTTCAAAGAAAAATAACCAAGGAAGTCCAGTTGCTTTTTGGAAAAGGACCTTTGGGCCAAGTTTCCCTTTTAATCCAACAGCACTGTGTTCCTCCTCCTATGAGACCATGAGTAAGCAACCTACAGTTGCCACTGCTGATTAGCATTTTCTCCACTATTCCACCTCAGCTTCAAATCTATCATCTTGGGACCAAGATCAAGTATGATTAGGAAATGTTGGAAGACTAGGCTCCATTCACAATCTGTTTCCTGAGTTCCTTTCATGCTTGTCCTCTATTTCCATTCTATTTTGACAGCAACATCTTTTTAAATTTCCACAATGTATGAAATCTTTATGAAAGAAAAGGGGCATATCAGGCTCTTCTATTTTAACCGTATTGTGGAATGCCATCTGTGGGAATTTTTAGATTTTAGATTCAGCAACTGTCAATCCAACAAGCTGAACAGACCAATCCCATGCAAGTCAAGTCTGTTATTGTAACAGATATATTAACACAGTGGTTCTCAACCTTTCTAATGCCGCAACCCCATAATACAGTTCCCCATGTTGTGGTGACCCCCAACCACTTATACATCACCGGATGCCAGGGGCGTGGCCAAAGAAAAGGGGAAAAAAATGGCGGACAGCCTTGTTTGGCGACCCCTGTGAAA